CCCCCTCTGGATCCGCCACTGCTCGGAGAAACCTGAAGATGATGACTTGTAGAAAGCTACAATTTTTCCATCAAGTTGTGACCCTGGAATGTGAGATTTAAGTGGGCGTCATTTCACAGTATCTGGATATAATTCTTGAATAAAGCCATATTGAACTTGTCTGTACAAGTTCCTGTCAAGATATTGTACCCAGTAGCAGGCTGTCCACATTGCAATAATAGTGGTATTGTTGGAACGAGATTAAGGGGTGGTATCATGATCAACAACAACAACGATATTATTGGCTGGAATTGGTCCAAATCGTGTAGTTATAGCGCCACCAACGCCCATAATATGGCGGGGTGTTCTCATATTTATGGTTTACGAGTTGTATTTCGATCAACTGTAGATTAGATTACAGTGAATTATAAATACAATTACGGTTTCTTTTTATCGAATTCCTCCAAAATATTAGATTAGGATCAGTCAAGTGACGTTTCGGTGCAGAAATTAAGTGAACCCAAATCCAAATTAAATCAAATCACATAATGACCGCCAGCATACACGAATGGTGACGTCATCACCATGTATCATTTGTAAAACTTCCTCGACTCCCTTGTTATAGCATTACTTAATTGGGTTGGCTCGAACGAGGTTTATACTTCAAATTATAAAACAAGTTGCATTATTCTATGAGTTAAATATGGCCTGGCAACCATATGTTGACAATCTTGTAGCGTCAGGGTATATTTCAAAGGCAGCAATCCATGGACTTGACGGAGAAGTGTGGGCAAGCAGTAGCGATCTGTTGGTGAGTCTCGGGTTACTACTTCCGTCTATTGTACTTAGCTTGTGTTGAAAACGTAAATGGAGGAAGTTGAATATGAAACAATTTCTATGGCATTTGTCGCAAGGTAAACTAGTAATTCTGTGTATGTATATGAGCAGTATTACCATAATAAATAAATGTGTAACACACAGGGTTGTCTACAACTTGAACATTTAGTAATTACTGTTCGAGTTTAGTAACATATGACATAGTATGGGCCATATTAAATGTGTGTTATGACCAGGAATTCAGCGGAAAATAGGAATAATTTGCATGTACCTTTAAAGTTGCTCAGCAAACATTCCAGGGATATTTACAACGTTGCAAACGTGGAAACGTACAGTGTTTGTGTATTTCACAAGTCGAATCGAGTATCAAAGTATGAGATTTAAATCAAATGGCCTGCATTCACATGATACTGATAAACTTTGGTTGTCATGGTATTAAGAGAATGCGTGAGTTGTAAAGGATTTTAATAATTTACAGGGAATTCTATCATTTGACTCCCAGTACTGTCACGGAAGTTTCTAAAATATTTCGCTATATAGTTTGACCTCGCTTCTATGTTCCGAAGTCCACATGCGTGTCCGTGTAATGTCCATACTCGTTAGTGTGTAGTGGATGGAAGTGTATATCATTCCCATATATGATGTTCAAATAGGGACATGTGACGTAAAGTAGTCAACTTATAATAAATTTCCTATTTTAAGATTTCTGCCAACGAAGTGGATACAATTCTGAATGCACTTGAAGGAGACGTCTCCATGGTAGCTGTTAATGGAATTCTGCTATCAGGTCAACACTATATGTTTTTGCGATCAGACCCGGGATCATCTATTTATGGCAGGAAAGGCGACAGCGGGTGCTGCATAGTGAAAACTAAAAAAAGTGAGAATTGTAAATCATTTTCTTTCGAGACCGGCATGATATCTTGCTTCCCAGTAGCTACATCGTCGGTCTCCACTCGTTTAGGTTCGAGCGAATCGGTCTGTGGGGCACTAGATGCGTATTGAATATTGAAGTTTTCCAATTTTCACTTATGTTTCCGCATGATTTTATTTCATATATATATATAAAGAGAGAGAGAAAGAGGGATAAATAAATGAGCTAAATAGAATAGCATTAGTTTATGGTTTGTGGTGCTCATAATTAAACAAAATTTGAAACGTATTTTCATATTGACAAACAATCATTTTATGTCGTATTTAGTGTATTGTATAGTACTACGAGTATGTTGATATACGTAACACTATACCCAATCATGACAATTTCATTTATTTCGATATTTCACAAATACATTATTAAACAAATATATAATAAAACAATTTTCTGGGGTCAGTCCACTCATCACGTACAACCAATGAGGAGAGTACTAGTACCAGCACGAGGGCGTGATTCCTCTCTGTATTGCACCATTCGTAATTCACTGTTACGGGCCGGTTCGGCAGACTTTCAATGATAAAAGCAGAGAAAATGGAATGGGGTCTGATGTTTTGGAATGGACATTGGCGATTCATTTATTACATACCAACTAGTTCTTGAAATGATATTTTCAAGTGGGCGAGTGCTCAGGATTTCAGCATTTAAATACATCGATATATGCTGTGTCTTTACCGTAAATTTCAATTTGCCGTAAATAGGCAATGTTTACGACAATATTTCTCTATATTTATATTCATTTGTTTCTATTCACATAGGTGTATTAATTGGTATCTATGGCGGTGGTATACAGGCTGGATCTGCGACTGTCGTAGTTGAAAAGCTTGGTGACTACCTTAAAGCGCAGGGTTTTTGACATTCGACTTTAGAGCCTATTCCTGTCATTATATTTCAACTAACTTTAATTTATGGCCAGAAAAAGTTTGCAATTTTGAGTTTATTTTAGCCATAATTACCCTGACCACGATGCTGATTGTGCGGATTGTTCAATGTTTATTTATACATGATAAGTTTAGGCTGTAAACAAGTTACATAGTTGGTACAGACATTGGTGTTTGACTCTAATTACTGAATTGGGTAATAGTTATAGAAGCAAATGTACTGAAGTTATGTTTTGTTGGTGATTAATTTGTCTTCACAATTATACTTTGACATTTTTTGTGGGTAGTTTTATTATTGTGTTGGTAAAATAAATAAACAAATAAACAGACAAATAAATAAATAGCGCATTGTTTACACTGGCATCACATATACGTTATACAGACCCATATTCACATAAACACCACTAGCATCGCCTTAATATACACATTTTGATTATAAATAAAGAGAATAAAAGTTTCCTGTTGGCTATCGAATTAAAGCTATGCAGACTTGCCATACTTTGCCCGATTGATTGAAAAAAAAGGATAAAATATAGCTCTATGGGATTTGTATCAGTAAACTAATGAATCTTAG